GAAGGAATATTGGACAACCCCCAATTGGGATCAAATCAAGGATTGTTTATTCTCTTTGCCTTCATCATTGCTGCAAGCCTTGTTTTTGCTTGCATCCTGCCTCGAGCTTGGTCTCAAAGCCACGACTTCCCATTGCAGTAGGCGCTGGTTGTGTTGGCCGGGATGCATGCGCCAGGCTATGAAAGAGATCCTTCTTGCTGGCGATACAAATCGCATCTGGGTAAGGATTCCAGTGAACTGTTTTCCGTCTGGATACCTTCCTGTCACTCTGGGAAGCGTTCCCAATGTCTGTCCTTTCTCGCCTTTTGAAATGCGCCGAAGACATTCCCAGAAGCACCTGCAAGCAATCATTAGCCGTCGTGCCAGCCCACAGACAAGGGTCTTGTGACCCTTAGCACGTGTTTCAACCCCTTTAGTGCTCCGAGGGCGTTCGTTTGCTGAGGCCTGGTGGCTGAGCTTACTTTCGTAAGAATCAACGATTTGGCGGCTCCCCCTGAGCCCATTCACCCGCTGATCTACATTGAGTCACTGGGCCGCGACCTGTCACGGCGTATCTTCAACACACACCTTCGGTAGTTTGGAAAGTGCTGCAAGACAGCTGAGTAATGCATGAGTGAATGTGTATAGAGATTTTCGTGGGCAGCGCGCTAGAAAGCCTGATTTACAGCAGCAGTTGTTTTGAGTTTGCAGTTGGGTGTATTTGCAATTGAGGGTATGTAGGATGTGAGGTGCAGAAATTTTATGTCAGACGTTACTTGGCGTCAGGCTAGGATACAGAGGTAACGACCGAGTCTCTTGTAACTTGGTAGAATGGGCTTGGGATTCATCGTTCAGGGTTTGAGGGTTCCCCGAGGCCACTGGTGGCTTTGCTGATCGTCTGCAATGGGATCATGAGTCTTGGCACAATTCAGCCCGCCACGAAACCATTGCCCTCTGATCTAAGGCAGATCGCATTGTTGCATGAGGGTTCCCGTAAATGTCCGCAAAGAAAAGGGGCCCCTGTAGAGCCCTCACTACTCATTATGGGGCAACATTCCGCTTGTATCGCGCTTGAACGGCCTTCTCGCCGCACAGCTTTAGCTAGATTTCCTCGGCTTGCATATGTAACCCTAAACCCTACTCATGTTGACACTATCATCCTCAAGCTTCCAAGGATCGGCTACCAGACAGATCCAGAACATGAGGATTGGCATGGCTGGACGTATGTTGAGATTGCATTTCTGAGCGTGCTCCTCATAGAGACCGGGTTGCTGCTAAGGAACTAACATCAAGTTATCATAAGATGGGCATATAAGTTACCATAATATGGGCATATAGGCATATGGCTTCCTTACTTTTATAGGAACTTGATTTCAGTTCCTTGACAACAACCCAGGAGATTGCTTTGCGAATGCACCTCCTGCGCTGTTGGAAGTTCTGGTGTGGGCCAGATTGGCTCTGGAACTACTTCGATATAGTCCTTGGACTGACTGGTTTGGTGGATATTTCGGTGCAGCTGGTCAATCAGCAGAAGTCTGACATTTTCGGCACCTCACTGCTCAGATTCTGCCGCTTAATACGCCTGGTTCGCATTGTGAAGGTGCTTGAGATAAGAGATGTTCTTGGTTTGGCATGTTGGGGGATAATATCCCTAAACCCTGAACGCTAAATAATAGTTTCCATTATTTATTCCATTATTCCTATACTGCCCCGTTATATTATTGGGGGACAATATCCCTAAACCCTAAATAATAGTTTCCACTATTTATTCCATTCTTCCTATATTGTCCCATTAGATTAGGTGCCCCTTCTGATCTGGCAGGTCTTCCGTCTGAAGTTCATGCGAGATCTGCGTCTCATGGTCAAAGGCCTTGTTGCAGGCTGCCCTGTAGGGTCAAGGTTTAGGGGTTTCGGGGTTTAGGGGTTTCGGGGTTTAGGGGTTTAGGGTTTAGGGTTTAGGGTTGGCCTTAGGTGGGATCTTGGCAGGATTGATGGCAAGAAGTGTTGCAGGCATTTTTGGGGTCCCCATGGAGTGCTCTAAACCTGAGTAGCATTTTATTTGGGTACTATGGTACCCAATAGAGTAAGATTATATCCTCCTTTTGGGGTATAGTATTTTATATACGGAATGTAATTTTACTAGGTTCAACCACCAAAAGAACACTACTCACCAGGGCCATTGGGAATATCTGGGAAACTACCCAGTATGTCGTGGACATCATGCTTTGGGTTTTTTGCCTCTAGGAAAACACAGCGAACATATAAAGCGGGCCAGGCGTGCGAACGCTCACGCTGGCCTTCACCCTCCTTTTTTCCGTCTTGTATGCAGCTTTGGCAAATTGGTATTTCTGGAAGCCCACGGGTCCAAGTACCCAAATATGAGAGCTTCAGGTGCCAAAAAGCTATCTGAGTATAGTGTTCGGGACCTAAAATCCTACTAATGGGTACTAATTGGGTACTTGGACATTCAATGACAGAGATAATGACAGCACACAGCCCTTAGAACCGGATATTGGTTTTCGTCCCACTGGCACAGTCCTGGCCAGTACTGTAGGCTCTGCAAGAGCTGAGGTCATTGGAGGCTTTGCCACTATGGCTATTGGAAGTGACGCGAGAACAGATGACGCCGGCTTGCAGTGGAATAGCTTGCTCAAACTGCCTAAACCCTAGACCCTAAACCCTAAATCAAACTGACGGGAAAGCAGGGTCTTTCCGGGGATTTAGAACGGTAGGAGGGACCTGAAGCCATAAGCGGTACAGTCGCAACTATGATCAAATATGACAAACCACGCCCTTCATATTCCACTCACAAAAGGGTTTGTGTCCCCGCCCTTGTGAACGAGTCTGTGGGTAGACCAAATACAAGTCCAAGCAGTTCAATGGATCTAGTCTGAGGCCGCAGAACTCAAGCCATACTTCAGGAATCTCCCTCAATGCATCCTGGCTGCGATGAGCTGCATGAAAGGCAGGGGTCCCTTCTAAAGCAAGCCTGGTATGCGCCTGACGCTTAAGGCAGAAGCCATACAGACCCCAATGTATTATATTATAGTCCTTCTTGTAGCCCCCGAAATGGGGCCTGAATTTTCCTAACCCCCCCCCCTATACTTCATTGTGCTATCATTGTATGCTGTCACCACCAATGTGGCGCAGAGCTGGGAAATGCCCGGGCCAATTGCATTTGCAAGCAACAATTGGTCACGATCCCAGTCTTCTTACGCTATTGTTAGGATTCGCGTTGCTGCAGCTCGACTGAGGCATGTTCACGGCCTTCCGGCAACTTTGCAAACTTTAAGCAGTCGTGTTTGGGAATTTTTGCTCTGGCATCAAAAAAGCTGTGAGCGCACTGCCTTTCCCACATCAACATTTTAGTGCTACTATTATTAGTATTAGTACTATTACTTCTTTATCATTACTATTACTATCATTGTGCATGAGGTGTTACACTGGCGACTGCGTAAATGAGAAGGGAGAACCCATTACGCACCTTCTGGCCGAGATCTTTGGCTATCCATTTATTATGTCATACGTCGTCAGCTACATGCTCGTAGCAATGGGCATCTTCAACGTGATCCTGGCGGTTTATGCTACCTGCTGCATTTGAGCGCAGGTGTTTCCGTAGCTCCGCCACGAAACAGCAGTCTGCCGCATCGGAACTAATCAGTTATTGAAAGCCTACAATTACAATCCTTACGACACCCTATATACATATTATATATATACATGTGTATATATATATATACCCTATATAGGCCTTTATGATCCCTCTCATAAACCCTAAGCCCTTGACTTCAGGTTGACATCACCATGAAGGCGGCCAAGGAGAACGAAGCAGTAACTGCGGAGCAGTACGCGCGTGAATCCATCCGAGTGGCACGGACCACGCGCGAGCTTCTGAAACGTTTTGCTGCTGCCTACCGACTCTTCCATGATCTAGAGGACGCAAACCCTATTTACTCCAGATAGCGCCCTATATGATATACTCTTTATTCACCCCATACTCAAACTAGTAGGTGAGACACTTCTGCGACAATAAGCTGCTGAAACCCTTTGAGCTCACCTGGAGGATGACCACTCGGAGGTTTCACATCTGGAGATCAGCCCCGGCAAGACCGTCTTTACGGATGAAGATGTGCACGAGGGCATCGCGATCACCAAGGACCTGTTCCTCCTGGTCATTCAAGACCGTGGTGTGCAGCAATTGATGGATGAATTGGATCTACCGCCGGATCGCGCTAATCTCTTCGAAATCATTGATGCCGACGCTGGGAACCCAAGTAGTATTTTTTGCAATTCAAGCTTGAAAGTTCAGTTCCAAAACGCGGTATGTTGATTCTGAAACGTGATTATTGATTGTTTTGTTTACCCTTGGCCACTCGGGCTGCTAGGATGGCAGCGGCACCCTGCGAATATCAGAACTGGTTCAGGGTCTCCTGAAAATCCGCGGGGAAATAAGCAAGAGTGACGCGATCGCCGCCCTGTTGGCGACAAAAGCTGTGTACTCCATGCTGGAAGAGATTCGAGAGGAGACCACCAAGAGCCTAGATGATTTAAAGGACTTGACTCTGAGAAGTGTGAGTTTTCTCTGTACGGAGCTGCCTCAGCATTCCTTTGGGGCCTCTCAGAATGAGTTCCGCGAACTGGCTCCAGACATCGACGTAGCGCCAGGTTGCTTGCTGGTGTTCAGTAGGGAAGGAATATATAGATAATAGGCACAGAACCGCTCTATAGAGACGACCATGTAGATTCATTCCCAATATGGGAGTTTACCTAAATAGGCGGACCCCAACATAGATGCCAAAATACTGTAATCCTTATTTTGGCGACTCCCAAAAAAGTACCCCGAATGGTGAGAAATCCACATACTCGCATCCCTCGCTAACAACCAGTAAGGTTGGCAGCATGACTCTGTCAAGCCCGACTTGCTCCTCCCAGCGGGAGCATTGCCCACAAGCACCGATGCGGCTGATGTTCAGCTGCGTTCATGCTGAGGTGGGTTTTTACTTGGACCCAAACGTACATAAAACGATAGCCCCAAACCAATTATTCTACATACTCTTGAGGTTCAGGTATAAACCACTAGACCAGTTATCAACCTAAAAGTTACTGTGAATAAAGGACAAATGTTGGCAAACTCGCGTTCATCCCATCGGGCAGGCACTTGGAGTGGGCGAGACACATTCTGCCTGTGTCAAGCAGGAACATCTCATCATCACAGGGAGCAAGCACAGCTAAGCACTTGCCCCTGGCAGTTCGTTCCCTTTCCTCATCACTTCATATTCTTCCCCAGGAGGGGTCAAGGGATGGCAAGACGCCGCCCCTTGTTTAATTCGACCCGTCCTTCTGGGCCAAGTGACACCTCAAGGGGTGTGGCGCTGCAGTAGATGCGAAGATGTGTTACCTTCTCCTAGGGATCCAATTATACAATTAATACCTACATTGGGCCCTAAAGTCTGTAAGTATTGCCTACACGTGCTATTGGGATCCCTATACATCTCTATAAACCCCTAGTTTCCATTTCATTTTTCTTTTGCTTTTCCATTCGATTCTCCACTATTAGGGTAATACATTGGGCTGTTTGGATTCTGGATCCCTAGGGGTCTCAGTGCATGCAAACGCTTTTGGACGAGGGTTCACCAGGAAGCCATGGCTTGCCAGGTCTTGGGGTCAAGTTAACTCCCAATCATGGAGCATCAAATGGAAAAGACAATGGAACATGAAATGGAATTGAAGCTGGGATTATGTATAGGGTTTAGGGCTTAGGGTTTAGGGGATTTCCCCTCCCAATAACGGAGAATCAAACGGAAAAAATGGAAAATGTAATGGAAGGCCTAGGTCCCTTAAGAGGTTGTATCTAGGTATAGTACCCCAATAATGGAGAATCAAATGGATAAGAAAACTGAAAATGAAATGGAAACTGGGACTTGATTGGGGTTTATTTAGGAGGATATGTAGGGTTACGAAGGGTTCAGGTCTGCCTGGCCAGGTTACAGGCAGATACCGGCAAACAGCGACAAGGGTTTGAGTTCTATGGAATTCCTGGGTTTGAGTACGGTATATGGATATTTTACAAAAAAAACAGATGTGGGACCTCTTGAGGGTTCTATAGAATTCTGAGCCAACCCCAGAGACCTTGCAGCTGATGTCCAGATCAAGCTTGGCAGAAGGATTGTGTGGTGATTGAAGTAGCTGTCTCACGGCACGTACGAAGCCTAAGGCTCACAGTCAGGCCTGCCCAAAACCCTATACAGTAGTTTCCATTTTCTTTTCCATTATCCCCATGTAACCACAATATTACTCTATATACCCCCAATGTTACCCGTATATAACCACAGAAAGCAAGTGAAACGCTTCAATTCAATATCTCAGACTCCCTCATAGATTTTGGGCAGGACTGTAGCTTTGCCACCCACATGCAGCGAACGCAGTACAAAAGACTTGCTGGTTCTTAGTAGGGAATAAGGGAATATAATTCCTATGTGATCCCTATGGAATATACTTCATTATTCCTTAAGAAGACTGAGCAAGCAGATCCGGGATCCGAAAGGCCAGTCCACTACAACTCTCCTCTCTTGACCTCGCTACAACACAGGTTCAGGGTTTAGAGTTGCCTCAAGCAGGGAGCTGCCTCTTCCCCGCAACTGTGCCTGCATGTCCCAAGCTAAAATGAAACCAACGTTCTCCCATGCAACACTTCGGCGTTGCTTCGTAGCTTCCACGATGAGCTTTCTCCACTGAGAGAACTCATGGGTCTTGTTCGGGTAGCTAAACGCTACGCCCGAAGTAAAAGTGTCCATTTCATGTCCATGCGCTTTTCCATTTGATTCTTCACTGTTGGGCTATATATGCATCTTTTCTGACTTTATATCCCACTACTTCCCAATGTGTAGACATAAGCCAGCCCAGGTTTGGCAATATGTCATGGACAGCCACTTGGCCAAAGCCCTGCCACCTTACCTTGCTGGAGGTTGGTAGGGAAGAAGGGAATATTTTTATATAGGGTTACATAGGGATTATATTCCCATGTTCAGGAATAAACACCAGTAAATCACTTGCTCACACAGCATGAGATACCCAGTCAGAAACTAATTGGGGGGCTCTTTGCGATCCCCCCAAGCAGAATGGTTCAAGCTCAAGGATTTAAGCCCTTTGGCATTCCACACGCCCTTGTTGCAAGCCTTGGTGAAGGCTCATTTTATGACATCATATTATGATACTGCTATGATCCATAATTCATAGATCAATGTGTTTGGTGTGGCTGAGCAAAGGCAGGTTTTTCTTGGACACAGCCGCAACTTCCCCAAAGGATACTATGACAACGCAGTTTCCATATCACTTTCCCTTTGTGCATCCATTATTGGGGACAATATCCTTAAATCCCAAAGGACGTCTTTGAGGCTTTTGACGCTGAGGGCATTTAACCCCCTAAGCCCTGAACACCTAAACCCGAAGCCCCTACACCCCTAAACCCCCAGACCCCCTACTCCCCTAAAGCCCTAAACCCTACATGCCAAGGCTCGCCTACAGATGTACCTGGCACAGACTACTGGCTGGGCCTACGGAAGCATTTCCCGGGAGTTCCCCAGGCAGCCGTGGAGCTGCCGCAAGCTCAGCATATCACCTCTCATGTGGTGTGTGTCCATGTTTTTGTTGTTTTTTTTTTAAAGGGGGCAGGGCGAGGGGTGGGGGTGTATTTTTTGTTGTATACGCCCCAGGAAGTCTTCAAAACAAGATGTATGTTTTAGGCAAAGGGGATTACAGTCTAGGGTTTAGGGTGGTTTGCTTCAGTGTGGTTCCTCTGCTGTGGAGACAGATCGGGGCTCCTCACGCCAGATTCCGCGCTGGATCACGTTCTCGGTCTTGATGCGAACGTCTTGCACCTTAGGGTATCATTCGACTTTTGACAAGCCTCGTGTTTGCGCTCCAAGTAAGTGCAATCACACGTACAGTCACAGAAAAGACGCATTTTAAAACAGGGAGAGCCGGCAAGGAGACAAAATGCAAATGCATGCACGTGACGCGCGTGAAACAGCTAGTCGAACATACGAGCCAATGGCATATGAGCAGCGCTTTTTTGTAAGAGCCATCCAGGGGATCCAAATAACCCAATGTAGGTAGTATTTACAGACTTTAGGGCCCAATGCAGGTGTTATTTGTATCCTGGATCCCCAGGGCATGACATGCATGAAGCTGCGTTTTGGCCAAGTAGCCTCCCGTCTGTAGGGCGTAGTCTCGCGCAGTTTCACGTAGGCACAGGTAGCATGTAGCCCGTGTAGTTTGGATGATTGAGAACTAGCCGTGAGAAGAGAAAGCACGTAAGTCGTGATTAACCTCAGTTTGAGTAGAAAGCTGCAGTTGTATATCCTGTTTGGGTAGCTCCAGGGCAAGATGAACTGCACATTGCAGAGCATGCTGCATAGGCCATGGATGTAGCGTAGTCACTTGTAGTCCGCGTAGTCAGTTGATGTAAAGGTGGCCCCCGCGTAGTCCGCTTCGGCAGTGGAGAGCGATTCCGCGCAGGGCGTGTAGCCACCCCATGTGAGCTACAGCCTAAACTCCTAGTATCCCCGTTAGTAACCCCTATAATCCTTTAAGGAGTTTAGACTATAGCTCATGTTAGTATGGGAAACCCTATACCAATGAAACAATGCTCATTTGAGCACCGGTGCATGCGCCCAGTTCAGGCATTGGGCTGAAGGCATGTGACAAATCATTTGATCCAGAGTATATATTGGGGTTATATTGGGATAACGGAAAAGAAAATGGAAACTACTATAATGGGTTATATAGGGGTCAAATAGGGTTATATTGGGGTTATATTGGGATAATTGACAAGAAAATGGAAGCTACTATAGTATATTGCGGTGATCTTGGGATAACTGAAAATTAGATGGCTACTATTTAGGGTCTAGGGTTTGATTTGATCCGAGCACAGATGTGTACAAAATATGATTTGACTTCGGACATCACAGGCCTTTGATTAGCTGGGAATGGAGGAATGGAAAAGAAAATGGAAACTACCGTAACGGGGGATATGATGATTGCCATAAGGATCCATTCCTTCATTCCTAGCTACCAAAGGTAAGGAAATCACCCTAAACCCTAAATCCCAAACCCTAAACCCTGAATCCCAAACCCTAAATCCTAAACCCTAAATCCTACACCCCAAACCCTGAACCCAGGCTTACCCAGCGCTTCGCGCGCTGCACCTCGAAAGTGCAGAGCTGGCATGGAAAAGCCATGCAGGGCGAGGGTGGCTTGGCTCAGGTGTGGAATAATTCACATGAGTAGATATGAGCTACAGTCTAAACGCCTTAAGGGGGTTATATAGGGGATTATACAGGGGACTAGTAATTATAGGGCTTAAGGGGGGTACTAGGAGTTTGGATTATGGCTCATATGAGACGATGTACCTGGACCCCAAACGCGGGTAAAATAATAGCCCAAAACCCCCCAAGCTAGCCCAAAAAGGCATTGTTTTACCTGCTTTTGAGGTTCAGGAACTCCCTGTGCTATAGAAAGTGATAAGGGACCGTGTCTTCTTCTTCTTCTACATCGGATCACGTTGTGCCCGAAATAGATTGAGCCCTCGTAGAAAGCTCCTGCCACGATGAAGAAGCAACGTCTGCTTCCCACACCTTTTGCGGCAAAGGAAAGCTGGTGCTTGAATTGCAAGATGGGCAATGTATTGAGCCACTCGGCCTACTTCTTCTTCTTCTTCTTCTTCTTTTGCGGTCAGCTTACACAACCTACGCTAAACTTCGAAGGTTGCAAGATGTTCTTCCATTCTGCTTCCTTCAGAAAGCTCGCGCGAGTGACGGTCCGCGATTTTTAGATTTGGCAACTCTGTGATTTCAAGAGCCGCGCTGTTAAGGACAGTCATCATCGAGCATGGCGGTCCCAAGCCGCGAGCAACAGCCTTCCGGTCAAATACGGTGCTCAAGTGGGTAAAGTGGGCAGACGGCTTCGATATTCAAGACAGAGTGTAGCCTGTACCAGGTCTCTGCACAGCTCGGTACAAATTTCTTGGCTGAAGGATGGCAGTGAGCAGGGTTTAGCATCCTGAGGTATGTGTCTCCAGCCAAATTGGCTGCAAAATGGGCTGCCGCTTCTGTGCTACAGGCCCAGGGTCATAGGCAGAAGAGTCAGAAGAGTGATTCCGAGAAGCTCATGTTTGTTGTAAATACTGAGCTGTGATCGCAAGGTGCTCACCCACCAGCTCCTACCCAAATACCATTCCACTGTCTTTAATGGAATTGTTAGCTAATAGAAGTACTGCAGTCACTCTAGCGCAAGCTGCTTAGGCACTATGGGTCTGCGTGCGCAGCTGTCAGCTGGAGAGATCCTCGAGCAACTGCTGCATGCCGCTTGCCGGGCATGAGACGGTCCATTCTGAGGGTGGGGAACAGCTCACTCCAGAATCTATGGAAGTTGCTACGGGCACTCATCACGGCCGGATTTGGCTCGGCATGCTTTCAACTCCAGTTTAATTGGCCTGGCACTGAAGAAGCCAAGGCCAGGCATTACACTCGTCGGCGCCCCAGGGACTACCTGCACCTGTTGCTGCACAGCCGATTCCTACCATGTTCATCCGCGAAGGCCCCCAAGCGCCCGTTCGAAATGCTGAGCTCTCAGGTTAAGGATATGCCAAGTATGCACCAGAATTCAAGAAGACCCAAGAGTTTGCCGAATCGTTTTGCAGTCGTGGTGCGACTACCCTAAGGGTCCAAGTACCTAATAATCATATACTTACCCAAAACCTGTACTATAATTACTATTACCCAAATCCCAAGTACCTAATTATTGGGTACATGGACCCTCTGGGCTAGGTAGTTTTCATGGGCATGGGCGAGCCACTGGACAACTATCGGTCAGTCCTCGGGGCACTGAAGGCCAGTCCATGCTTTCAATCGGACAAGTTGCATGACGCTTGCAGAACCCCAGGGATCCAAACAGCCCAATGCAGGAAATATTTACAGACTTCAGGGTCCAATGTTGCTATTATTTGTATACTTGGATCCCTAGGGGAAGGGAACATTTTGCACCCTGTCCCCTAAACCCCTAAACCCTAAACCATCCTGTGCTGATGCAGCAACGTTGCTGCAGGCCTTGGCTATCAGCAGCCGGGCATTCGGCCTTTCCTTGAAGATGCCTGTCCAGGAAATGAGCAGAATGTTCCCTTCCCCTAGGGATCCAAGTATACAAATAATAGCAACATTGGGCCCTAAGGTCTTGGATATGTCGTGGTTGCAATCGTGGCAGTAGACCGGGTTGCTGTTAAGGAACATAAATTAAGTTACCATGATAGGTATATCCATATATATATATATATGTCTTTATATGGTAATCAATAGGGTTTCACCTTATATAGTAACCTAAACTATAGGTTCCTTAACAGCAACCGAGTACAGCCTGCAGCACAGTAACTCAGATGAGACGCCTCAATGCAAAGTGCCTACCGTCATACTGTCGTACGCATTCATTCTATGATTTTTACATACGCTGGGGATCCAGATAGCTCAATGTAGGTAAATGTCTACTGACTTTATGGCCCAATGTAGGTATCATTTGTATACTTGGATCCCTAGAGATAGCCGTGGACTGCTCCAAGGAATGTCACGGTGTCAACCGTGGGAGTTCCGGGAAAAATTCGACAGCTGGCCATGGACTGCCCAGCAGCCAACCTTGCGCTCTCTCTGCATGCGCCAATGCAGGAGACCTGAAAGGTCGTTAATCGGCTATCCCAAAATTAGGGGTACCTTTAAAGGGTTTTTGGGGATATAGGCTTTAGGTTTTAGGGTTCCCAAAAGGAGGCGTACTTTTCTTGGGGCCCCCCGTAATGAGGATCATCGTATTTTGGGGTCTTTTTTGGGATACCCTTATTTTGAGAAACCAACATATAGGGGTTACCCAGGAATTTTCGGGACACATATGGATAGCACCCCAACAATGGAGAATCAAATCGACAAAGAAAATGGAACATGAAACAAACATTGGGATTATGGAGGCGATCCTAGGGATAATTGCGTGTAACCCCTACCCATGATTCATAACCCTTCTCCCCTTAATAGGGATTATAACAGGGATCCTAATAGGAAGGCCCTGCAAAGGAGGGGGTTCATTAACCACTTGTCTACATTATGTTCTGAGGGTTTAGGATGGTTTTGGGCTCGGGGGGTTCGGATCTAAGCTGTTTCATGCAAGCAGAGGGTTTTACAACATTCCCTGGGGCTCCATGATCCATGTCTACAAATAAATAATACCTACATTGGGCCCCAATGTCTATAAACAGTACCTACATTGGGCTATTTGGAGCCCTAGGGATTGTACATGAGACGAATTGGCTGAAGCATCTCTACCCACCTGTACAAGATTCTGAAGCTTTTGCTGCCATGTTTCCATCAATAAGGGGACCAATATAAACCCCAAAACCCTAAACCCGTAAACCCCTAAACCAAACAACCCTAAACCCCCCTAAACCCCTAAACCAAAAACCTTAAACCCTAGTATAGTCCTTATTCTCGGGATCTCTAGAATGTGTACCCTTTTTTCGTAGGAAACCCCCATGCCGCATCAGCATGCAGCTGCCTGGAGGACCTTCGCTCTACCATTGTTCCCAGCGCTGGTGGCAACCACCTCGATGCCCTACTGAATGAGGCGCTACTAGTCCCTATATAACCCCTACTATATAATCCCTATATAACCCCTATATGATCCAAGTATACAAGTGATACCTACATTGGGCTCTGAAGTCTACAAACCATGCCTACATAGGCCTTTTTGGATCCCTAGAGCTATGTGATCCCCAAATGTCATATACTTATATGCCCTAGCAAGCCGAAGCAAGACGAAAGGTTCTCGTCAAGTGTCAGGTGGATGAGTACGGCGGACTGACCGGCAACAAGGCCAACTACGCAGTCAGACTTTTTTTTTGCACTACTTGCTTGCTAGCGCCAGCTGACCATGTGCATAATTGTTTGGCTGAATTTTTTGTGAAGGTCATGATGGAGTACATCCTGATCGAAGGTGTAAATGCATCAGCAGAAGTGGCTCATGCTTTGGGCGCCCTCCTGGCGCGCCGGCGAGCCCTGGTCATGTTGAACCTCATTCCGTACAATCCCACAGCCACTAAGCTTAAGAGCAAGTGGGGACCACATTGTACGTCTCTATACCAGAATCGCAGGCTCATGTCCTGAGGTCACGTTCGCACATGTCATGCTCGTAAGTAGCGACATAACTGCACTCCAGCCCAAAGGCGAGTGGAGATGGGAATGGATACCGTGCGCCGACTGATGTCTCTTGGCGAAAGACATAGGCCTTGTTAACATATCAGCCCACATCACTGTCATCGTCTCCACGAGCTTGTTGCTTACCCTAAGGCGCTTGTCGTTACTTCACTAGTTCCATTTGGGAAGGAAAACATTGGACAAACATGTCCGTTACCACACAATCCATAGAAACCCAAAACAGAAGGCTTGAGACCTGCAGCTCAGGCAGCATGCAAAGTGTTCCGCAACATTGTTGCTGAGTACCGGCGCTGCTGTGATGCCCCGGGAAGCACGTGTGACTTGGATTGATGTTCGACTTCCGCGGAAAGTGGCTGACTTCAATCCCTATATAACCCGTATATAATCCCTATAACCACCATAATTTCTGTAGTTTCCATTTTCTTTTCCTTCCATTATTCCTACCAAAAAAAGGTGCCTGTTTGCTGCCTAGATGCTAGTAAAGACCAAGCACACTTCTTCCCAGGCATTGCTGACGCTCAGGCTCGCCACATGCTGCTTTAGGGTTTAGGGCTTTGGGTTTAGGGTTCAGGGATTAGGGTTTAGGGCCTTTCCATGACGTCGGGGGGGAAGCGTTGTTCCTGGGAGGGATACCGGAAGGGCGGGCCAGCAAAGATTCTGGCACTGCGCACAACTTGACGTATACTGCAAGGCGCTGGCCGCTTCATCAAGCAGGTCTGGCTTTGGCAGAGTGAAATTTAATTTCAAGAACAACGTTGAAACAAAGTTGTTGGATGAATCCCTGGGGGATAGCCATGCAGGGACAGCGGAAAATCTCAAGCAGCTTGTGTTCAAAGCTTCCATCTGTCCCACAACAAGATTTAGACAAGCCGGATATGGCAGATGTGCACATGTCAGGGTCGGACAACTGCCAGTGGCACGTACACAAAAGATCAGTCTTACGCGAATTCAGTTCCGCAAGCGAAGCTCAGGATGCGACGTTCGAGGCAGAAGGTTTCACTTGCACAGTTTGAGGGTGCCAAGTTTGCGGCTAGAAGTTCTTGCGCAAAAATGGCGCGAAGTTTGCGCGAAGGTTTGGCAGAGGACAAACAACTCTGCGCAAACAACGACAATTTCCCCGGCGCTTGGACATGTTCGAGATACCGGCACGACTTGATCTCGCAGCTCACCCCATATAACTAACTCTGTAATATGATCCCCGTACATCCCTATATGATCCCCATAGAAAGCCTGACACACTCCATGGGAGGTGCGGGTCTCCCAAAACCACGGTTACCAATGGGGGATATATACTGTAGGGGAATGTAGGGTTCAGGTTTCCAGAAATAGAGGTACCTTTTTAGGGGTACCAAATGGGGTCAGTTTCCATCTAAGCTGGTCACCATATGGCGCACTCTCGATACCCATTCTCTGGTTTAGGAAGGTTGCTAATTATGGCACGTGTAGAAAGCCCGTTTGATTCCAGAGGCGAGCCGCCCAGTGCTGGTTTGAAGTCAGTCCTCAAGACTTACTGGGGGTGAGAAAGAAATCAGATGGAATAAAGGAATATGCTATAAAGGCTGTATACGGGGATTATATATATATATACATACACATATAAGCGTACATTTCCTTCTTCCCTACTAACAACCAGTAATAAGAATTGGCATGAAGTCTTGCGCACCGCGAGGATCGGGCTAAATCAAAAAGCAGAAAACCTTCATGGTTGACCATGGCAAGAGCTAACAGAGACAAAGTAATCTTGACGAAGCCAACAAGGTGTAGAAGCTACAGGGTTATTTTGAGATATATGGGGATTATGTAACATTTTATAAGGTTGAACAGGAACAGATGGTTCAATTGCGAACGGGAGACCGCGTCCGCAAGGGTAGAGGAAGCGGCCTAGCAGAGCCCGGCCCCGACAAAAATGCGAGCTTCCTACCTTCCAGGACCTTCCTTGTACCCTTAATTGGGGAGAAATGGTCCCTAATAGTGGGTACTTAGGCCCTAATAGAGGGTAGGAGGAGGGTCTAGGTTATTGGCTTCCATGGCCCGGACTCGCACCAGCCGAACACCCCCCAAAATGGGGAAACGCACGACAACAAAAAAACCCATGTGGATCCCGACCCCCCAACCCCTCTCCCAAATGGCGGCCGCTGGGAGTCTGTAGGGGGAGGTAACTCCTAGTCTCCAACTTTGGTTCTAAACGCCCCAGGCTTCGGGCCTCGGCGGACTTACCGTTCTGGTACTTACCGTTCTGGTACACGTTGCATGTCACTTTTCAGCCCAGTACCTAAAATATCGACTGACGCATGAGACTGAATCACCGTTGTAGTGCTTTCATTCCGGACGTAGAACACATCCCGATGGTTGTGGAGTCCAAGAACAGCCAATCCTCAGCAATCTCCAGCTTCCGAACCCTTCGACCAGACTTTTCAAGCCTCCCTGCAGAGCTTTCTGGTGCTTATAATACAAGTGGTACAAGTGCCAGTACGCAGCCTTTACCACCCAGTACTTGTCATATGGCATTGAAAGTTGAGATTTGTTGATGGGTACAGCCGTTTATCATGCCAACAACTTATGGGTAATTAGTTCCCAAATTGATGGGCCCCTTTTGGTTATAGATTGTATTACGGCACCGAATATTTTGGGGTACCAAACTGAAGCCCTAATTTTGGAAACTACCCTCATGTGTGATTCTCCATTGCCCTATATAAATATCTCCCAACATACTGTAGTAGTTTCCATTTTCTTTTCCATTATTACTATGCAACCCCCAATATACTGTAGTAGTTTCCATGTTCTTTTCCATTATTACGATATAACCCCCAATATACTGTAGTAGTTTCCATTTTCTTTTCCATTATCCCTCATTGCCCTGTTTGTCCTTATTGAGGGCTGGGACCGTGCCAGGCTGGTGCACCTCTGCTTTGCACCATACGCTGGAGTACCGTCCCTGGTCAGGCGTGGAAGAAAGTCTAAGGTTTTTAAGTGCGGGAAACTAGTCCATACTCCTAAAAGGGGATATATGGGGGATTATATAGGGGTTATTAAGAGGGAGACCAGGAGTTTGGCCTAAAGCTCATATGGGCCTTTAGGCCGTTTAGGGCATTCTAGGGTACATATAGGGTATATAGTAGGTATATAAGGATCCCAGGGTTAAGGGCCCGCGCTAGGGGCCCGTGGTTTCAGCCTTAGACAAAGCATTGGGGTTTCTCAAACAAAGGCAGCCTTAGGGGATCCTTCAGATATGGTTAAACGGACTAAAACAGTGAACCCCAAAACAGGGAACCCCAAGAATATAGTGGGAATGTAACAGGAATAAACCTGCCAGTGTCCTCATATCCTTATTTTTATATTCCTACTACATGCTTGGGGTTCCCTGTTTGAGGTTCTGATTACAGTCCTTTTCAAGGAGTTCAAAGGGAGTATGCGGGTCCCCCCTTGTGACTGCAAGCCCTGAACCCTAAGCCCTAAACCTAGTCACAAGGGGGTTGTCTTGAGAAGCTTCCAGTTCAGGACAGGGATCGGCAGATGCTTCATATTAGGGTTATATTGGCGTTATAGTCGGGTTATAAATGTTCCTTCCTTGCGATCCAAATTTCATCCTCCTGTTGTAGGTGATTTCAGTGTTCCCCGGATCTTGATAGGAATTTGTTACCTAATCCAAAAGCCAAAGTGGGCATGTAGAGGCAGAAGTTTAGTCGTTCAATGCTCTCGGATGCTCTGGCTTTGTCTCCAACTTCGGCAAAAGACACATTGAAGCAAGCTATGTGGACAGGGGGCAAAAACCTTTCTAGGGCAGAACTCCCACATTGCCTCATTGTGCATGCTGGAACATCCAGACAGGGAGGAGAAGCAAAAGGCTGCTTGCTGTCTCCAGGCGCAGATGGCAGCCTGCGGACAGCTAGCGCTGGAGTCGGCAAAGCCCGTGAGAGCCTCAATATGCAATGTTTTCAGCCAACGGATGAGGTTCCTTTTGTTTGTGGGCCTGTGCGTGTCAGTCATTTTCGAAGGAGGCGAGGACATGGAACCCCCACTTAAGACTTGAATTCATAGCCAGATGACAGATCCTGGGGCTGAAGGCTATGCCACCAAAGATGCACGACATCGAGGATGTGCCGCTGCTGAGCGTCAGCAGGCCTTCAGATGAGCTGCATGTTTCTTGTTACATCTGCTTCTAGTGCGGAAGCTCTTGTGATACCATGGCCGCCGCGCTTTGCCTACTGCGTGAGCTGTAGAGTTCGAAGCCCAACAGGACTGCGGCAAAGCAAATGCCATTGCCTCCCTTCCTCGATCGTTTGCTGTGGCTGCTTGCATCCATCGCGGGGGCAGGCAAGGAGAAGCCGTGATCGGAGCGTCTTGATGGGATCAAGTTTGGCTGTTGCAGGTGCAATCTGGATCTTTGCGCAACACCGGAAAAGGTGCTTGTCTTGCGCAGGGTGTTTGCAAAGTCGTGAATGCGGTCTTGCCTGCCCAGCAACATCCCCTTTCATCTAAAGCCGTTTGATGATGAATAGACGTAGGCACGTGACGAGCCTTGTTGGCGGAGCGTCAATCACACCAACCCAAAAGAATGCCAAGGGTTGGGATCACTTGATGCCCTCGAGCTCATGCAAGTCCCTAGAAAACGTTTCCCGACTGAAGGTGCAGGTCAGTAGGAAGACTGTAAGACTTGTTCCTTTTTGTTAAGATGCACGACTTAACAACCGCATTGCTACGCCTCTGATCCTCCAGCAGGAGGTGCGTTAAGGCAAGATTTGATCATGCGGCATGTACCGCCATGGAGGGTGCGCCGAAAGCAGCCAGGCTAGCGACCTTCTGCTTGCATGTAACTCCGCATCAATGAAAGGAGTTTTTCAAATCTATCAGAGCCACTTCTGACTGCACTTGGTAATGACAGAGCGTCTTAAGATCAAGCAACACTGTTCTTCAGCGCGGGTCGAGGGTCCAAGCAAAAGCAGTCGTTTACACGACAGGCGCAAGGCCGATGAGATCAGCAAGGAATGGCTGGAGCTCAAGGTCCAATGGGCTGCAGTAATGAAACAATAATACCACTGATTCTGTAATAAGAGAATAGGAATGACAAAGTGCCAATACTAGCAATAATAAGTGTAATAGTAATTGTAATACGAATAAAAGCAATAAAGATAATCATAGTTATAGTAGCGCTGTCCATCTCACTTTCAGCTGTGTATCTAGCATCTGGGCGCAGCCAGCACATGCCTCATCATGCTTTGCAAATTGGGCTGTATACCCTAAACCCGAAACCACACCCTAATCTAACCCCAAACTCACTCCAATAGAATCCCAATATAACCCCAAAACAACTCCAATATAATCCCAATATAACCCCAATATAACCTTTATATGACGCCAATAGAACCTTAATATAACCCTAATATACCCCAATACCTGCAGCTGCCAGGCTCACGTTGGGGGAAAGCAGCCGGAGGCCTGAGCCTCCAGCAGCCATGCAAGCATCTGTTATTCCTTTGAAGGGTTATATAGGGGTTAAATTAGGATCTATATAGGGCTTATGTTGGTTTATATAGGGTTTATATAGGGTTATATGGGGTTATATAGGGATAATGGAAAAGGAAATGGAAACTACTATAATTATAGGGGTTATATTGGGGTTAATTTTGGGGTTATGTAGGGATAATGGAAAAGTGGAAACTACTATTTAGGGTATAGGGTTTCTGAAAAATTGGCGGCCATACCCTTGGGGGGTCTTCATAATAATAAGGGTTGTAGTCTTTTGGGCATTATGTTGAGGTCCTATTCTGGGAAACTACGATATCTACCATGTAGCAGATTCCTTAGCAAATGGCTGGCTGTTTTGCTGGCAGAAGAGCACAGGTGGTCCGGCGAGAACGAGCTGTCGAGGACTGCTACATGTACCGATGACGTACACTCTCCCAAGCTAACATGGAAACCCATATAGCCCCCTTTAGAAGGACTGTAGTCGTCATAGGGCCCTGTTTGGGTTTCCATGTCAGTTTCCGGGAATGTATTCCATTCAGCTTGTTCGAGAGCATTGATGTTCAAGCCCCTCATCCGCACGAGCAGTTGGGCGCTCCTGAAGTGCAGGTCAATGTCAGCCTTGCAGCCGCGACAGCAGTCTCTCCGGAGGCGGTTGGTCAGGGCTTTGCTCCCAATATAACCCAAAATTATAGTAGTTTCCATTTCCTTTTCCATTATCCCTATATAACCCCATATAACCCTATATAAACCCTATATAAACCCAACATAAGCCCTGCAATACTGCAAGTCCGCATGTCGCTGTGATCCTATCAGCCTATGCCATGGCCACATTGTGTCAGGTGCGCCCTAAATGGCTTAGCCGAGCCTTGGAGAGCGTGGCCACGGGACAGACACGTTAAGGGCCCGAGCAATACATCTTGGCAAAGATCACTTGACTGAACCTGTATATATGCTTGCTGGCTGCAGACAAGTTGCAGTCCATTAACACAAGCACCCTAAGTCTGTCGACTGGCTCCTGGCAGGGTTTCCAAGACGCATCAGATGCAGTTGAGCATGGAGAAGTAAGGCTATTTTTGCAACCAGGAAAGTTCTCCTTCACCCCTGGGGTCTCTTCTTGTCATTGAAGACAAGCCAAGGCCCCAGCGATCTCTTCGATGTTTGTAACCACCCGGGCTTCGCGGCAGGACCTGAAAGCATGGCGGCAGTGTTTGCTGTTGGCAGAAGAATGACAGGGGTAGGTTCAAACATGATTTTAAGTCTTGACTAGTTATCCTTAATCCCCACGCAATTCCTATAAAACCACCAAACTCTGATTTTCAAAGGATCCCATACCTACCCCAGATCAGTGGCGCAAATTCGACTGGGAGCTGATGCCGCGCCACCCGCCCTTGCATACTCCTGGGTTGCTGTTAAGGAACTTAAATTATGTTTTTCTATATTGGGGAAACCCTTTTATTTACTATATATACCCATTATGGTAAACCCTAAACCCTAAACCCATTTTGGTAACTTAATTGAAGTTCCTTAGCAGCATTCTCAGGAGTGTCCCCGACGCTTGCTGCTCAGATGCTCGAGGACAGAATCCACACGGTTTAGGGTTTAGGGTTTAGGATTTAAGGTTTAGGATTTAGGGGTTTAGGGTTTAGGGTTTAGGGCCGGTATCCAGGGACAATTTACTGGTTCTTAGTAGGGAATATCAAGGGAATACATTATTTAGGTATTGTATAGGGGTTATGTTTCCATATTTATTCCAACAAAAAGACAGTTACAAAATGCAGGCTTCGGCTTCCCATCCAAGCGAGCGCAGGAGCTCAAACACAAAGCGAGCTCCTTCCCAGAGAAGCTGAAGAAGGCTCGCCGCGGTTGTTTGGGGTTTAGGGTTTAGGGTTTAGGGTGACTAGCATGATATGGGACGTAATTAAAGAAGGCTCCCACAGCCCCAAGACCCAGTCCTGTACAGACCCTATAGAAGCTATAGTCTAAACTCCTTCAAGGGGTTCTATAGGGGATTATGGGCGTATTTTAGGGTCATTAATGGAAATACTAGGAGTTTAGATTATAACGCCATATAAATTCCATGCATTCCTGTATAATCCTATTTTACCCAAGGCCATCTTGGAGGAAGAGCTGCCGCTGGCTGAAGCAAAGCAGCGCCGCACACCTGGCTTGGCTTTCTGGTGGGCCAGCTTAAGGAACTACATGAGCTATAGTCTAAACTCCTTAAAGGGGGATATATAGGGGACTATATAGGGGACTACTATAGGGGGTTTTAAGGGGGATACTAGGAGTTTAGACAATGGCTCACATGAGCTATAGTCTAAACTCCTTAAAGGGGATTCTATATATACCCCAATAATGGAGAATCAAATGGAAAAGAACATGGAAAATGACATGGACACTGCTATATATATATATATAGGGTTATCTAAGGGTTTTATGAGCTATAGTCTAAACTCCTTAAAGGGGGTTTTATAGAGGATTCTAGGGGGGACTGCTATAGGGGTTATTATATAAGATGGATGCTAGGAGTTTAGACAATGGCTCACATGGGAAAGAATACATATGGTGCCCGATATTTTTGCGTTATAAGAGGCATGAAAAGGATGGACATTGGGCTCTAGGCGGTGTGATTTTGCAAAAAATGACACGCTCACCAAGGGAGATAAGATAACTTCAACATAAAACGCAAAGCTTACACCACCAGAACACTCTCATCAGTTTAAGTTCCTAATGGCCATCAGTAGCCCGGACAACATATAGAAACCGTACATCATGTAGCCAACCCAGTCTACTGGCACCTGCTTCAAGCATCCTGGACTGTCTCAAGGTGAGATATTGGCCCGGAAGTTGCTAAAAGTCACAGCGGACGCATAAGGGTTTAGGGTTTAAGGTTTAGGGTTTTAAGTTTAGGGTTTAGGGTTTAGGGTTTAGGGTGGGATCTACTGGAATGGTTGCGTGTGAGCGACTACCGCTGAGCCTGAACCCATGGGCAGTCACATTGTCGAGCTTCAAGCTTCCTTAAACCCTAGACCCTATATAGCCCACTATCGTACTGTCCATTTACTTTTTCATTATCCCTATCAACCCTATATATATCCATATGTAAACCTATCATTCCTATATACTATGGTAGTTTCCGAAGCTTCCATTTTGTTTTCCATTATCCCTATATAACCCCAAAATTAACCCCAATATAACCCCTATAATTATTGTAGTTTCCGTTTTCTTTTCCATTATCCTCATATAAGCCTGTATAACCCTATATAAACCCAACATAAACCCTATATAAACCCTAGATAACCCCTATATAACACCCTAAACCCTATCACATGCCTACTTGCAAGGTGTTGCGCAGCGTGCTGAGGCAAAGCAGAAGGCCCGGGATTCACTGGCCCATGACACACGCATGATATGGAGTTATATAGGGTTTATACAGGGGTTATATAGGGGTACTGGGTTATATCGGGATAATGAAAAATGGGATGGAAACAGCTATAAACTACTATAATTTAACAGGGTATATATTGGGGTTATATAGTTATTCTTCTGTCTTCAAAGCGGAACGCCCCAGAAAGGTCTCCACACGTACCTTGCATGTTGCACATCTGGAATTGTTTCGGGCCCATGCCCTAATCCCGAAACCCTCGACCCTCAAGCTGCCTCAGGCAAGTCCAGCCGCTGATGACATGCTAGCAAGATGCCTTGTCCTCACCTGGGCGTTTAGGGTTTAGGTTTAGGGGATGTGATCCCAATAATATATACCCGATTTTATTATGGCAGTTTCCATTTAATTTTCCACTATCCCCAATGTAACCAGATATCCTCAATATACTATGGTAGTTTCCATTTTCTTTTCCATTATCCC